AGCCAAGGCTGGTAGAGAGCTTTATTCTAACGCTGTGCTGTAATCAGATTTCTAATTTCCTGAAAGTTTTATTTTCACACCAAAAGAGGCTTCTGTTCCTTAATTCAGTCTCAGGGTGCTTTAAAATTCCTTTTTGGTTCTAAAGTTAATGTTATTGGGTTTGTTGTTTTCCATTTGCTTCATTTATAGCCTGCCGTTTAGAGTAAAGCTCCCAAGGCAGCTTATAGAAAGCACTAAAGCAAAATCACAATTAACAACAGAGGGTTCCCCCCCAGCTGCATCGAACCACAATGCAAGCATGCCCTGACCACGTTTTCTTTCTTCTTCTTCTTTTTCTGTTGCATTCCATGACTTTGCTTCATCCCATCCCCAGCCTGAGAGCACAACACACTTACGTGGCTTTCCTACAACTGTGACCATGTTAAGGTAGCATCTTTTTTCTTACTTTGACCCAGCAGCAGAACTCAAGGTGTATGACACCTATTAGGCTCTTTCACTCATTTTCTTGGAAGGAAGAAAATGAATGGCATTGGCTGGGACAGAGAAGCAGCTATTAGCAACAGTGGTGGGTTTCAATTTTTTTTACTACCTGTTCTGTGGGTGTGGCTTGGTGGGCGTGGCTTGGTGGGTGTGGCAGGGGAAGGATACTGTAAAATCTCCATTCCTACCCCACTCCAGGGGAAGGATACTGTAAAATCTCCATTCCCTCCCCACTCCAGGGGAATGATACAGTAAAATCACCATTCCCTCCCCACTCCAGGGGAAGGTTACTGCAAAATCCCCATTTCCTCCCAATCAGCTGGGACTCGGGAGGCAGAGAATAGATGGGGGTGGGGCCAGTGAGAATTTTTACTACCGGTTCTCCGAACTACTCAAAATTTCCGCTACCGGTTCTCCAGAACTGGTCAGAACCTGCTGAAACCCACCTCTGATTAGCCACAAGGACAACACATTTCACACCAGTATATTTTCTCCTGGCTCAAGGACAGGCAGAGAAAACTCGGCAGTGGAGAAAACTTGCAGGTTTTGCGGCACTGTCCTTCTTTGGCTGTTCCCTTTGACTCAATAGAACAGGGGTCTCCGAACTTGGCAACTTTTAAGATTTGTGGACTTCAACTCCCAGAATTCCTCAGCCAGCCATGAATTCTGGGAGTTGGTCTACCAGTTGTAAAGTTGCCAAGTTTTGGAGACCCCTGCAGTAAAACTTGAGTATGCTTAGACTCTCACTGGGAAATGAGGCAACTAAGAGAAACACCATCCAAATTCCATCAACTTCTAAAATAATTGTGACTGTGATGATCCTGATTAGCTGTAGGTATAAAATTCTAAATTAATTATGACTGAGGCTGATTAGCTATAAATAGATCTAGATACACAGGTATGCATATACATTCCTAAAAGCCTGGGTGGGGTATGTACTTTTTGTGGGAAGGGCTTCCAAAAAGGTTAAGACCAAACAATAATGAGATTCTCAGTGGGACTGCTCACCCAAGGAGCTTTATGATGAAATAAACATTTGGCCCAGGGGTGGGTTCTACTTACCTTTACTACTGGTTCGCAATGGGGCCGTGCACAGAAGCATTTTGATGACGTCGGGGTCGGTGGGCAGAGCCTCCTGCCGGTTTTACCACCGGTTCTATAGAACCGGTGCGAACCAGGGGCAACCCACCACTGATTTGGCCCCAGATCACTAGATCCATATTGTATTAAATCCAGCATTGCAATAGGATATAACAGGGAAAATAGAATTGTTCAATCTGTTCCCCAGTCCATTCCATTTTCTGCTTACAGTAGCATCATGAATTAACCTCCAAATATGTCACACAGCAGTGCACCCACTCACATATTTCTTTCACAAAAGTCACAAAGAGGCACTACATTATTAACTTAAAAAGAATCTATTATTTTTGCTATTACATTTGTCGTTAGCACTGATGATGTTACCTAGTTAAACATCTCCAAGAAAACAACCAAGCTCAGAGAGCACCAAGAACCCCTTACTATTACATTTTTATCATTTTGTTTTACACTGTCTACCAGTGGTGGGATTCAAATTTTTTTACTACCAGTTCTGTGGGCTTGGCTTGGTGGGCATGGCATGGCATGGCATGGCTTGGCTTGGCTTGGTGGGCGTAGCTTGGTGGGCGTGGCAGGGGAAGGTAACAAAATCTCCATTCCCTCCCCATTCCAGGGGAAGGTTACTGTAAAATCCCCATTCCCTCCCAATCAGCTGGGACACGGGAGGCAGAAAATGGATGGGGGCGGGGCCAGTCAGAGGTGGTATTTACCGGTTCTCTGAAGTACTGAAAATTTCCACTACCGGTTCTCCAGAATTGGTCAGAACCTGCTGAATACCACCTCTGCTATCTACATACTTCTGCAACATGGATGGAGTCATTGGACAGTGTTGCATTGACTTTCTGGTTAGGTTATGGCAGAGTGTATTATTTGTGTCTATGCTTTAAAATAATTAGTGTTCTAGATAAAGAATCCTACTGTTGGTCATCCAAAAGTTGCAGTTATTTTGTCTTTCTCTCCTTAGCAGATTCTCTGTGATGAGGAGGAACATAATGCATCAATGGAGGAAACACCATAGCATTATAAAATGGAATATCATCTAAAAGTAGGGTGGGGTTGTGTAATAAAATCCTCATGTGGAAGCACTCTACCTACATGATGTACAGTGCTCCTACTGATGAATAGGATCAGTCATAGGACGCATCCAATGCCATCATCCAATCCAAAGCATATCAACATAAACCTGTGATGTCTGTGCCTCCAATTTCTCCTCTGTTTCAGGCCTGCAAAAGGCAAGTTAAGGTGCAGTGATTGGTGCATTTCTCTGCTGGCAATCAAAAGCTCTAGCAATCACTTTCCCCAAAAGATCTACCAATCACTTTCTCTGACATAGGGTGGGAGGCTGGAGCTCAGGAAGAGGCGAATTTTGATAGGGCTGGAATGGTTGGTTGGGCCATCTGTTGGAACCTAAAATGGAGGGAGATCTCAGAAAAGTAGGAGAAGCTCTTCCCTCCTGCTTTAATAGGAAGCCCTGCCCAATGCCGTCTGCTCATTTTCCATGTGGGGAATCTAAGAAGCAGGAGTAAACATGCTACTTCCATATCCATCTCTGGACTGCCCACAGGAGATATTGGATGCAGTAAAAGGATCCCCTCACTTCATTCAACATACTTGTGGAAACAGGTTGTAGGTGCTATGTTGACTGAAACAGGGTAAATCTCCCAATTAATTCATTACTGCATCACACATGGCCTGTTGATATACTTTGCAGATCCTTCACAGAACAAGTTGGCCGCCATTTTCAGAGTTTTCATGTAGTGGTGGAGCTTCAGCTGCTCCTTGGCAACCTGCTCACATGATTGCCAAGACAATATGTGGGGAATTTGGAAGGGAGAATACATCCCCAACATGCAACCATTATTCATTGAAGGCATTCAATGAATGAAATGGAAGGATGGGCCCACAATAACTGAAAGTGGCCAGTCGGAGCTAAGCAGGTTACACCTCCTGCCATGGCACCACTCAGCTGCAACAGAAGTATAATACATCAGGAGATGGCAAGATGCGAATTGGAAGAAGATGGAAAAGACCAGTTCAGAAAAACAAGATATCAGCTAATCTTGGCTTTGGGGGGTGAGGGGGTGAGACAAAGGTTGCATTGAGTAGAGGCAACCCTCAGGAAGAAGCTCAAATTCTTTGGCCACCAGATGAGAAGAGAGGACTCATTGGAAAAGACCCTGATGTTGGGAAAGATCAAAAGCAAAAGGAAAAGGAGACAGCAAAGGATGAAATGGTTAGATGGTGTCATTGACGAGGTGGCCATGGGTTTCGCCCAGGGTTGAAATTCAGCAGGTTCTGACAAGTTCTGGAGAACCAGTAGCGGAAAATTTGAGTAGTTTGGAGAACCGGCAAATACCACCTCTGGCTGGCCCCAGAGTGGGGAGGGAATGAAGATTTTGCAATGTCCTTCCCCCAGGAGTGGGGAGAGAATGAGAATTTTGCAGTATCCTTCCCCACACCAAGCCACACCACGCCTACAGAACCAGTAGTAAAAAAAATTGAATTCCACCACTGGTTTGGCCTACCTCTGGGAGACAGTGAAGGATGGGGACCTGACATTATATGGTCCCTGGGCTCACGAAGAGTCAGGCATGATTTAAAGATTGAACAACAACAAAACAACAACCCTCAGGAATGTCTGACTTCACTAAGGCTGAAGTCAGGGGGACGTCTGAATGTCCCTTCAGTGTTACTTACTTCACAAAGTTGTTCAGAGGATAAAATGATGATGAAACAGGACATCAGGCCCATTTTATTAACTCTGTTGAAAAGCCAGCTTCATTAGGCTCCCCACTTAGAAATGTGTCACATGTAAAATATATGAGACCATTTATTAATTTTATGAAGTGATGCCTGAACTTGGACTGTTTCTTCAACTTTGTCCTACTTTTTAGATTTAAAGCATGTGGATTATTTGGTTGGTTTCAAGTTAGCCTGGAAATTTCTTGAGTGACAGACGGGATTGAAATGCTATAAATACTTATACACAGGTTCTTTGTGAAACTGCCTTGAAACTGAGAAGAGGAAGGAGGGAGGGAGAGAGAGAGATGAGGGTAGGAGAAATAGGCCCAAACAGAACAAGAGAAATCTTTGGGTTTTCCCTAATTGCCCGCCCTCTCTCTCTCTCTCTCTCTCTCTCTCTCTCTCTCACTCACTCACTCACTCCCTGTCACTCACTCACTCCCCCCTCCCTCCCCCTTTCTCTCACTCCCTCTACCTCTCCCTCCCTCCCTCTCTCTCACACACACCCTCTCCCACCCTCCTTCTCTCTCTCCCTCCCTCTCCCTCCCCCTCTCTCTGTTTTCTGCAAGATACCCACAATTTTTTTGCTGGCTCTTCCTTTAGTCAAGGTTACCCTTGACCCTAGAAGGAAAAACAATCACCTGTAATTATGCATCATTGCAGGGGAGTCTGGCAAAGGGTTTGAGGCGGACTCACTACAGTGAATTTTGCAAAGGACACAGAGCTTGAATCGAAGGGCAGGTGAATATCATTTGATTAACTTAGTTGGGGGAGGAAGCCGTGGCTGGGCTCCAGTTGCTTCTTTCAATCACCACACTGATTTGTTTTTTTTTTCCCCTCCAGTTGTCAGAACTTAGGCTCAGCCCAAGTGACCTTTTGTATTTCTACAGCTCATTTCCTTCTCATCCACTTCATACCTACAAGTATCATTTCCTCCGTGATCGCCTTGACAGTAGGAAGGAGAGGGAGGGCAACCAGAAAATTTATCCAGGAAGGACAGTCAAGAGCACTAGTAGGAGAGAGAAAAATCCACCTATGCAGCGAAAGAGGTGCAGGGCTACAACGGGATATACTCTGAAGACAACATATTTTGTGTGGAAATGTACAGTAAGGAGGTAAATTTGTAACACAGGTTTAGGAAATAGAGCTTCTAGATTTAGGTATGAACTGCAATGCCCCCTAGCGGCTGGATCCATATAGAATCTACGTCTGCACATCAGGTTCAATTGCAAAAGTATTTTTCATTGAAACAGACCCAGCCAATGTCCTCATCTCTTGAAGGTTGAGCTTTTCGTTTGTGTTTTTTTTTTAATGCATCTCTCTGAGCATCATTTGGGCATAAGGGGCGTGCATAAGTGCACCAGCATGCCTACTGTCCCTGACCTAATATTCCTTTTTACTTACTCTTTTCATGTATTCAAATTATGTTTATATTTTTACCTGTTATCTTATATATGCTTGACAAATAAATTTATGACTTATGATTTGGGATAGGCCACAGCATGGATTTTGAGCAGAAATTCCTCGAAGAAACCAAACACAGAGGCTGTATCCAACTTGGAGAAATATTTTTTTTTAAAAAAGTATATTTTTGATGTTGGTGCAAGATTGCTGGTTAGGTTCCCCACTCCCCACCCACCCATCTTGTGTTTTTAAATTGGCTGTACACCGCCCTGAGTCCTTCGGGAGAAGGGCGGTATAGAAATAAAATTATTTATTTATTTATTATTTATTTATTTATTTTCAAGGTCAAATTTGAGCCAGAGTTGAGTCTGTGTTTTCCATATACTGTATATGGTAGGACTACTGTACCAAAGCTGTAAAAATCCAAAGGTTCACTAGATAACAACAAAGAGACTAGAAGCTCCTAATTCTTTGTTGCCATCGAGTGGCTATCTGGAATTCTGCAGTCTAGGAATGGTACACCTGTGTGCATATCAAAGATCCTTGTTTCAATCTAGGGCATTTTTTATTGAAAAATTCAGGTGCTAGGTGATTAACCAAAGTCTTTGAAGAAAATACCTTCCAGGATATACTAAACAGAAACAATAGCCTAATTTGGAATATAGTACCTTCTGGTAGTTTCACAGACATAATAGATACCTTCAGCACTTTAATTTTTGTTTTTTTTAACAGCAAAAGAAATTGCATTTTCAATGGCTGGTGCTTGTTGTTTCATCTGCTTGTTTCATCTCCTTTCATTTAAACAGCACCAAGGGTCCAAAATTGACTGCTTTCATTCTCTGTCTGCAAGTACCTTGGTAACTCATAAGCGTTTTTAAAGAATGGCCGTTTAGAGCTGAAATGAAATACAAAATGCAAACCCTGGAATGGTTCTTTGGCAGCCGCTTTGCAGATGATACATACCTTGAACTATTTCCAAAAACTGTCCGCCGCAGTGATGCAGTGTGAAGTCACAGAGAAGAAGGAGAGAAATTCCTTCTCTCGCATCCCTGCATCATCTCCCCCACCTTAAAAAAAAAAAAAAATTGGAACAAACAAGAAGCAATTTATCAAGGCCGAGAGAAGCAAAGAAAGAGAGCAGAATCCCAGAGAATATTAACCTAATTAGCAACTTCATTAAAACCCAGGCTTGAACTTAGCCCAATCAATTGTGTGTGTGTTTTTTTTTTCTAGTAGCAAAAAAAAAAAAAAGCTTTCTCAAAAAAATGCCTGATATCCTGCCAATTTTCCCCCCCTTGCTCTTTTTTTTATTGAAAAGTTTTACAAAGAAAATCCCCCCCCCAATATTCCCCCCACCCTTTTCCCCTCCCACTACCCCCGCTCCCCTTCCCATCCCACCCTCCCCCCCCAGACTTCCCAGAGCAAAATACAGGGTATTTCAATTAACAATCATAAGCTAAATTAACCTAACTATTCTTAAACTACCAAATCCCCCCTGAAACCTTAACTCCACTATGGCTAGAATTTAACATTCATTCATAAGCTATTTGATATTTTCTTGTCTGATACTTATTTTGAATGTAATCAATCCATCTTCTCCATTCCGATATGTATCTTTCTTGTGTATAGTCCTTCAAATATACTGAAATTTTTGCCATTTCTGCTAAATTCGCTACTTTCAATGTCCATTCTTCAATAGTAGGCAAAGAGTCCTTCTTCCAGTATTGCACTACCAACAGCCTAGCTGCTGATATCCCCCCCTTGCTCTTAATGTCTCTGGTCAGCATAGCTGGTCAGAAGCCATTAATGGAATTTCCCAGGTACAGATATGTTTCAACAAGTCATACTTAGGGGCTTTGGCTGAAAACGCTCCAACTCTTCTTTGAAAGCTCATCTTCATAGCCGCTGCCACCCCCCACCCTCCGCCTCCATCAAAACTTTCCCTGGTAATTATTTTTATATGAAGTGTCCTCACAATCTCACATTCATTTCATCTCTTGACCTGCCTGCAGCAGAGGCAGCTTAAAGTTGTTTGCTTTTCGTCTTCTCCCAGTACAATTTCTTGCTTCGCCAATGATGTCCTATCAATCAGAATAGAACTGGAAGGGACCTTGGAGATCTTCTAGTCCAACCCCCTGCTCAAGCAGGAGACCCTATACTATTTCAGACAAATGGCTATGCAGTCTCTTCTTGAAAGCCTCCCGTGATGAAGCACCCACAACTTCTGAAGGCAAGCTGTTCCACTGGTTAATTGGTCTCACTGTTAGGAAGTTTCTCCTTAATTCCAGGTTGTTTCTCCCCTTGATGAGTTTCCATCCATTGTTTCTTGTCTTGCCTTCAGCTTCAGGGTTGACAGGGACCTTGATCAGACTGAATCATTGCTGGCCAGTGATGTGGAGGGTGGATCTTGAAGTGATGGGTGAGGGCGGGATATCACTTCAAGATCCACCCTCACCACCCCCATCACTGGCCAGCAATGATTTGGTCTGATCCAGACTGAGTAAAAACTTGGCTTTTTCTGGGCCACTTCAAGATCCACCCTCCTGCATACTTTTTGTAGGTCTGTATGTGCTTTTGAGGGACGCGGTGGCTCAGTGGAGGGATGCGGTGGCACAGTGGCTAAGATGCTGAGCTTGTTGATCGAAAGGTCGGCAGTAGAGAGGTTCGAATCCCTAGTACCACGTAACGGGATGAGCTCCCGTTACTTGTCCCAGCTTCTGCCAACCTAGCAGTTCGAAAGCACATAAAAAGTAGAAAAATAGGGACCACCTTTGGTGGGAAGGTAACAGCATTCCATGCGCCTTTGGCATTTAGTCATGCCGGCCACATGACCACGGAGATGACTTCAGACAGCGCTGGCTCCTCGGCTTTGAAACGGAGATGAGCACCGCCCCCTAGAGTCGGGAATGACTAGCACATATGTGCAAGGGGAACCTTTACGTTTAGCTTTATGTGTTTTTGAGACAATCTTGACTCCTGGCGACCACTGTTTTCTTGACAAGGTTTCCGTAGTGCTAGTTACCACTGTCACCTTGCTAGAGCTGAGAGAGGGTGACTGGCCCAAGGTCACCCATGCCTAAAGTGGGACTAGAACTCACCATCTCCTGCTTTCTAGACTGATGCCTTAACTACTACGCTACCAGCTGTAAATTCTAAAAGTTAACATCATTAAATATCATTAATATTTACCATTGCATGAGCATTTGGGGAAGGCATCCCCTTTACCAGCCTTGCCTCCAGTCCCAATCAGCCCCCCTCCTCTTTCCATTTCTTCTGCATTTCGAGGCCTGACAGGTAAACAGCTGTCTCTCCTGGCTTCTCATATAAGGCTGGGAGGGGTGGCAGAAGAAGCAAGGAGGTAACCCGCCAGCTAGCCTGAAAAAACAGCCAGACCGCCCTTCCTGGCTCTCTATGAGGTTACTTTGAAAATAGGCTTCACGTTCTTCCAGAGGGCATCCAACCCATATTTAAAAGTAGCTCAGAAACAGCTGACTGGTTTGGAAGGGGTGACACATGGAGGTTAAGGTGGGTAGGAGCTTTCCTACAAACACCCACCAATCTCCCACTGTTAGCTATTGGTTGGGCTGCTTGAAATATAGATTTGATGCTGTTCTGAAAAATTTTAAAGTTGCTGGGAAATAGCTGTGGTAGACAGAGCTGGCAAGGGTAGGAACTGGCGGGATCTCTCCTGCTTTGCTATGCAACATCCCTAATCCCCACCAACAATTTTTCTGACAGTTCAGCTCCTATAGATCCCCTCAGGTCTGGCAGCTGCCTTTCCTGATAAAGGTGTGATATAAAGTTAATTAAGAAAATAAATAAATGGGCAGCCTCTTCCATCCTATGGATCAGCTGCAAGCCCTAGGATTGATCAGCCGAGTATGGAAAGGGCTATCCAGTAAAGGAAGCCCCCAGAGTCACTTGATAGAGAGATGGGCAGCATACAAATTCAATAAAATAAAAACAATACTGTTTGATTAGATGGCTACACTGTGGATCCAGTTTTTGACAGACAGATCCAGCCACCTGTGAAAACCCGCCTCTTCCTCTAGACCTGGAGTCTCCCAATCTGAAGACTTGTGGACTTCAACTCCCAGAATTCCTCAGTCAACCATGGCTGGCTGAGGAATTCTGAGAGTTGAAGAACACAAGTCTTCAAGTTGCCAAGTTTGGGGACCCCTGGTCTAGACCCATCCCATATGGATAGAGGGTGACTGCTGGTTGCTTTTCCCATTCAGCAAGGGACACACAGATTAGGTGTAGGGCAGGAGTGGGTTCTACTTACCTTTACTACTGGTTCGGAATGGGGCCGCTTCTGCGAATGCACAGATCGTCGGACCCTCCCACCAATTTTACTACCAGTTCTATAGAACTGGACAGAACTGGGAGCAACCCACCACTGGTGTAGGGAGATGAAAGCTGGGGAATTTGCTTTCCTTTGCTTCTCCCACATGAAAATTGTAATGGTAGTAGTAGGGACAGTCAATTTTTATGTTGGCATTATTTTCTGCAGGCTTGTGGGCTGGTAGATTGCACAAGGCCATCTGCCTGTGGCCTGAATCAACAGAAAACTATACCGGCCTCAAATTGGCCAACCTTATTGCCAATTCCTATCCTGCCTCAATTTCCTCTGAAATTCCTCTCTAAAGTAACAAGTGACAAAGCTTATACATTTTTATACGCAGAGGCTGACCTTCCATGGTACTAGATGAAGGGGTAAAAAGACTTGTACAACTAAAGACAAGTTAAGATTGTCTCTTTCAGGGGCTGGGAAGAAATGGAGACAATATTGCGGAGACATAGCAGGGCATGTTTTTGCCAGTGGAGAAAACTCCACCCCCCACCCCCAGTCAGCCTTTATCTTGCCAGAAAATTGCCTGGAGAGGTAGAATTTGGCAATCGTTCCTGCAATGGTTATAACATACTGTAGTTTTTACATACCAAAGTTGCCCTAATTCAATTATTGCTTTATTTAAAAAGAGATCAAGGCAGCTTATGAAAAAAAAAATTAAAACAAGGCAAAGGGTACATTTAACATAAAGATACAATCAAATTTAATTTTCAAAGATCAAAGAATTTAATATGTTTACTTATGGAGACATGTAAAGATGTGCCTGTATGGTATGATAGAGATCTTCTGTAAGCAAACTACAGGCTACATAACCCTATGTTTCACTCTTTCCTCCTCCTCTATCTCTCTTTCCCAGCCCCTGCCTTTGAGATCTCTGTTCCCCCCAATGATCTTCTCACTAGGAGTACACAACCCGTAAATATTAATCTCTAGGTCCCAAAGAAAGTTATTCTCCCCACCCTAATTATTTCCCTTTGCTCAACACCTCTGGGCTCGGTGTCAACATTTGATTCTGGACAACCAGCCTACAAGTTAGTGTTAGTGTTGTCTAGTTAGTGTTGTCAAAATCTGAGGAAGGGATGCAGAGCTAACTATGTGAGTACTACTGCTCTCTTGGTAAATTTGTACTGGGGACAGGGGTGAAATGCTCCCTTGGGTGTTAAATCACCCAATCCGGTAGCGATGGCGGCGGGTGGTTCTGAGAACCGGTAGCAAAATTCCCTGCCCCGCCCCCCCCATGCTCAGCTGAGCCGCGCAATCATCAGGTTTTTTTTAATTTTTAAAAGCATTTTTTCCTACAACCTCTTCGGCTGAAAAAATGCTTTTAAAAGTAAAAAAAAAAAGCCGCTTATGATTGCGCGGCTCAGCTGGGATCGTCAGAGGCTTTTAAAAGCATTTTTTTCTACAACCTCTTCGGCCGAAGAGTTTGTAGAAAAAATGGTTTTAAAAGTAAAAAAAAAAAAAAAGTTGACCACGCCCACTCAGTCACATTACCCCACCACCACTACCAAGCCACGCCCACAGAACTGGTAGTAACAAATTTTACATTTCACCAGTGACTGGGGACATCATCAAACACTGATCTTCACAAGCAGAAGGACACTAATTGGTGATGGGGAGACTTCCCATCTAACAGTATGTGCAGAGGCTTCCAGATGAGCAGAATCCCAGTAGCTTTGGCTTTGGGACTTGAGCCATCTCTACATATCAAGAGTCCATACAGCAGACATTTACACTGAACTCATGGAGAATGGAATCACTAGCATGGGTTGTTAGAGAAAGTGTTGTGGCCCGCCAGCGGCCAGCAGAGTTGGCAGCAGATTCGGACAGTGAGGAGGTTGGGCAGG